GGATACCACAATTGAGTTTGCAGGAGCCGACCATTTGGCATAACAATTGGTTAATAATCAGCATTAAATAATAATTAATTAAAAATTTATTAATTTCAAAACATATTGGTGGAGATGGTTAAATTTACCTGAGCTAATAATTCCTACAAATGCCTTGGGTGTCAGTAGTTTTCCAAAGATAAGCCAGAGAGCTCTGGACTGGATAATCTTAACTATTTTCATAAAAATGGGAATGTCCTCCTCCAAGCTCAAAATTATATAAGTGATAATTTATTTAACTGCCAGACTGTCAAGGAAGTAGAAAACTTATGGAGTTAATTTTGTGCCAAAAGTATTAATCAAAATTTTGAAAACCGCAAGCAAATTATTAAGAATGAAAATATATATTCCAAATATCAAAAAAGTTGAATAAAATCATTTTTTTCCTTCTTCTTGTCACGCCCCGCTCCGTCCGCTCCCGATGTGTGCCACACCCACCTCGTTACCTCGTGTTCAGCCCTAATTGTGATCGCCTGTGTCCTGTTAAGTCTAGCTTGTCTTGTGTATTTAGTCCTCGTCTGAGTCAGTCTTCCCCAGACTTGTCATTGTATTGTCCGTCGATGTCCGTACCTGTCAGTCCGTTCGTGCAATTAAACCCAGTTTCCCTGACTTCCTGGCTCCGATCGCCTATTTCCCTGCTCGCCCGAGCCCGAACGTGACAAAATTAACTCCATAAAAACTTATCTTAACGAAGAAATCCAATAAGGTGACTGGCAAGGATAGCTGCGACTAACACGATATCCAGAACTAACAATGAACTTTCAGCACAAACGACTATATCAGCTGACCTAATTATCGGTAACAGTCACTGACATTTACAGGGAACGACCCTTGTATTCGTTAATTCACGTCTTGGTCTCCAGACAACACAGGTAATGATTATGAATGAAAAAAGGAGAGGAAAGTTTTGTGCCACTTACCATTAAAATGAGTGTCTTCAGAAAGGTTCCATAAACGGCAGTTGAAATTCAAATATATCCTCACATACGTGAAATAGCACCTTTTTGAAGGCAGTGGTTCTATTTCCCAGGGTTAGAACCCCTATGTTCTATATATATAGCAATTGTTCACAGATAATCTGGTAGTTGTTGTTGTTCTTCATTTCTTCAATTAGTTGTAATCTTTCCTGTTCCAAACTTTCTTCTGTTTCTCCTTGTGGATGAGGGGGTAAATAGTTCACCTCTACCTTTCTTGGTTTTTTGATATTCTTTGCTGGTGTCTTCTCGTGTTCTCGCTTTTTTTTTTTAAGAGTTCACATCAAGCTCGGGACACCCAAGCCCACTGAGTTTACTTCTATAATTGCCCATTTTATATTTCAATCTTTGTTGCCATCCATAGCATCCATTATAGGATCCTGACTCTTTGAGGCAAGGATGCTTCTGAACCTATGCTTCAGCAACATCAGACAACTGTGCATTCGTTGGGTAGGCAACATACTGAAAGACGCTTTCAGCCAGTTTCTCAAGAATGTCTGGAAGAACTGCCATAAAGTTCAGTTGAATTCTTCCTTGAAAGATTCATTTCCTGAAGCAAGAACAAGCTCTGTGTCATAAGCAAAGCGAGGAACTGGAAAATCAGTGGGACTCGTGTGTTAAGGTGATGAAAGAATTAGTGTACCCTGAGATCCAGATGAGCAACTGCTGCCACAGGAATGGCTGGGTGTCTCTGAAATCGTGATGGAGGTTGCTGAAGTGTTGATAGAGGTCTCTGATTTGCATTCAAAGAAACTGTCTACATCACCAAATGTCAGAGTGATTGAGAGGTTCAGTAATGTGAACTACCTTGATTGTGTCCTTGTCCTTAATATCAACTCACCAAGTTTTAAGTCTCTAGATAATTTTATCCAAAAGCAGACCAACAGATTGTTCTGTAAGAGAACAATAATCTTATATCTGACAAAGTTAATGAAAATAAATGCAGCCCACTTGTTATATGGTTAATAACAAGAAGAGGCTAGGCTTTTCCACTGAAGTGTAATGTACCGTAAGTAAAATTAGAATGATCAATAAATCCCTGTGACTTTAAAACAATATTTGTAGAGGCATTTCAACATCAAGTAAAACTTTATTTGAACCTGAGTGTCTGCAAGTAACCCATTTTCTTAATAAAACCTTTACTCCATACATGAGAGAAGCAGATTTTTTTTTACTCATATGTCTAATGAAGAAATGTAAAGTCCTTCTTCTTCTAGACTAGCAAGATCTTTTAGCAGTAGTTCAAACACAGCTCAATAACCAAACTGTTTTATATCATCAGCTTTGCAGAGAATAATTTGGTGAAGTAGCTTAATGTCATACTGAAAAAATGAGAAAAATACAACCTTTCATTGAAAAAAAATAATAAAAAAAAAAATCTAATCCTACATCAAGAAATAATTTTCAAGAAAATCGCATGTGCCACAATTATTGGCACCCCAGCATTTAATACTTTGTACAACCTCACTTTGCCAGTATAACAGCACTGAGTCTACTCCAATAACATTTTATAGGGTTGGAGACTACAGAGCAGGGCATCTCAGCATTCCTCTTTACAGAATCTCTCCAGATCATCCGTAATGTTATGTATCCTAACAAGGTTTACAGGGCCTTTGGAGGAAAATATCACAGAACCGCTAGCATATTTTACAGTTGGGATAAAGTTCTTTTCATTATAGCCATCATTGTTTTTACGCTAAACCCACCTTGAATGTTTATTGCCAAATAGCTGCATTTTTGTTTCATCAGACCATAGAACATGGTTCCAGTCAAAGTTGTTATACCGTTATGTTAAACTCCAGGCACTTACATTTTTGGTTAACTTACAAAAATGGCTTTTTCTGGCATACTTACAAATAATCTGTTAGCATGAAGGTGGCATCTGTTGGTGGTTTTGGAGACACGGTAACCCAAAGATTTGACTTTGTCTTGTAATTCACAATCAGTGATCCTTGGGGATTTTTTTTTTGCCTTACGATCCTCCTCACTGTACGTGGGGGTAACATAAACTTGGGTCCTCTTCCATGCAGGTTTGTAACAGTTCCTGTTGATACCCACTTTTTTTTGTTATTGTCCTAACAGTAGAAATGGGCATTTTCAGTCGAGTAGCTATTTTTTATACCCATTCCCTGACTTATGAAGGTCAACACGCTTCTC